CTTTCCTATTCCGCAAAATGGGATATTAGGATCAGATTTCTTTAAGCAATTTCAAGCAAACGTCAATTACCAACAAAATCAGTTAGAATTAGACGGTACTTTCATTCCTTTTGAAGAAAAGGAAGAAATCTTTGAAATTCCTGCAAGATCAATTTCTGTTATACATATTAAGATCGCAAACCCAGAATTAAAAGAAGGATATGTTCCTCGTTTAAATGTAACGGAGGGAGTTTACTTAGGAAACGCTCTCGTTACCGTAAGAGACGATAAAGCATATTTACAAGTAGTAAACACTACTGAAGAAGAAGAAAGGGTATTCATTCCCACTGTTAAAATATATGAATTTGAGACAGATCAAATGCCAAATCCAAACTCAAATACAAACTCGGATTACTTAGGTAATTCATTCATTAACTCTAGCAGAACCTCAAATTCAAATCCAAACTCAAATACAAACTCGGATTACTTAGGTAATTCATTCTCTAACTCTAGCAGAACCTCAAATACAAATTCGGATTACTTAGGTAATTCATTCTCTAACTCTAGCAGAACCTCAAATACAAATTCGGATTACTTAGGTAATTCATTCTCTAAATCAAGCAGAACCTCAAATACAAATTCGGATTACTTAGGTAATTCATTCTCTAACTCAAGCAGAACCTCAAATTCAAATTCAAACTCAAATGCAAACTCGAATTACTTAGGTAATTCATTCCTTAATTCTAGCAGAAACTCAAACTCAAATCCAAAGTCAAATACAAACTCAGCCTCGAACGAGAATTCTAATTCAAAAGCAAATTCGAATCAGTCAAGTGATTCAATTACAAACTCAAATTCCAATTCTAACTCAAACTCGAACTACTTAGGAAGTTCAATTCATAATTCAAGTTCAAATGAAAATCAAACTTCAAACTCAGAAGATTCCAATTCAAATTCAAGATTTTGCTTAAATATCAAAAAAGAAGATAGAAAAGAAAAGTTATTTTAAGCATTAAGATTAGAGCATTTAAATGCCGAAGAACGCTTACATGTTGAAAGACTAATTGAAAGAAACTCAGATTGTTTTATTTTACCAGGAGAAAAACTGGGTAGCACAAATATTTTAAGGCACAAAATTCCAACTGTAAATGACATACCTATAAATACACGACAATACAGATTTCCGCCAATTCATA